TAAAACAAACGTCTACATTTGCATCGACACGATATGTTAAAAAAAAAGTTAGATTATAATGAAGTAAAGTAATGCAAACTTGAATTAAGGCTAGTTTTGTCTGTTAATGTGTTTATTTAATTAATAAATACGCCTTCTAATGTCAGTAAAGAAGTAATTGTGGGATGTTGTTAATTCCAATAAGTTCTTCTAAATTTTTATTTTGTTGTTGAAATAGTAGAATGCCAGCCACTAAAAGAAATCACAAGGAGTTAAATCACATAATCTAAGTGGATAAATGACAGACCCATTTCGATCACCAAGAAATTCTGAAAGCATATTCAAGTAGTTTTGCTCTGTCCAGGGAGCTGTTGCTCCATCTTGTTGAAATCAGTCATTTTCGAGTCAACAAGTCAAAATTTCTTGTTGAAAACGACCTGAATTTAAATTTCTAAAAGCATCTGAAAATTTAAAGATTAATACTCTCACGTTTTTTGCGTTAAAAGAATATGGTTTAACTATTCTTCTGTTACTCAAACCAACTCTGACGTCAACACTTTTTGAGGAAAAAGGGGGCCTTCAGTAAAAAAGTGGTTTTTGGGCACTCCATATTTGTGTATTATGCAAGTTCTCATAACCTGACACATGGAATCAAGCTCCAAAACATGTAATTTAATGTTTCTTCGTCATATATTGTCTTCTAAAACTACTGGCCATATTCAATTCTTTAAGGTGAATCAGTTGGCATCTGATTGGTCATTCAAGGTAGATCGTGGAAGTTCGATAGATATCTTTTTACTAGGTATCTTCTACATCGGGTTAAATATTTTCTCACTGATCCAATTTGTAGATTTCAGTAAAATTTTAGCCTGGGTACTACGTAAAATCTTATTAACAAAATTAGTCAGTATTTGTGGCTTCCTTAGTAGTCGAAACTACAAGTTGTTTTTTCTAACATATGTAATTTTCTCATCAGATAAATTATTGGAAAAACATGTTCCGCAAGGATCCATCTTGGACCCCTTCTATCTAGTATCTACATAACGACTTTTTCAGACATATCAAAACGCCCTTCAATTAAAATTATTTCATACGCTGATGAACCATTAATTTATTAAAATCTAAGAACCAAAAAACATTCGTGGAGATACAAAACAATACAAACAGAAGTTGATACAGCTTAAAATTAAATAGACTGGGACGCTTTGATCGTAATTGGCACATAGAAGACCTGTAAAAATTGTGTGAGAAGGAATCCTTTGCTTCAGCGTTTTTGCACCACTCAAAGGCCCTAAAGCATCTTAAATCGTTTTAAGAATTGCAGATTTTCTTCTGACATAACATATAAACAAATTGAATCTTACAAACAGTTAAAAAACCAGCCAAATAGCAGACTTTCTAACGGTGAAACGAGGCTAAAAATAAGATATTTTTGATGTCCCGAGAATTGTAAATAAAAGCTTCCCCAGGCGAACTTTAAATTAGATTCCTTGTCCAATTATGATACCTTAATGCACAATTTTTACCAAAATCTATATATGTACAATATTCCTACGTCAAGTGTACCACAGGGCCCAAACCTCGAACCTCTCCTGTTTCTTTCATTTATCAATGACATCACTGATGTTATTAATTCAAACAAATTACTCTTTGCTGACGACCTGAACATTCGTCGGATAATAGAGTCAATAGAAGGCTAAAAAGCATTACAAAAACATTTGAATTTCATTGACGATTAATGCAAAAAAATCAAATTTTTCTTAATAAGGATAAGTTAGTGTTTATACATTTTTTTACACTGAAATTTAAACTAATGAAATGTCAGTATATTATATTAATCTACGCTTTCGTTCTGTTAAGAATCTGAAAATCAACTTTGACTAAGAATTTAGCTCCAGGCAGCATATTGTTAATGTTTTCGCCAGAGCTCATGAAATGCATGAGTTTATTTATAGACGTGGAAATGCCCGTAGTCAAAAACACTTAGAATGTGACATTTTTTAGTAACTTTTCGTAGGTGATTTCTTATATGTTACGAATATGTTGCTATGGATAAATCTAAGTTTCAAATTCGCAATTATTGAAAGATACAGATACCAAAAACGGAAAGTCAATAAGAGAACGTTTCGTAAATTGAATTTTTAAGTTGTGAGACTCATTAATTAGTAGCGTACGTCCTCTGTTTCCAGTCTTATCATAATTTCTTTTAACTTCCGACCATGCCATTTCAATAGCGTTGAAATGACAGTGGTAAGGTGACAGCCTCAATACTCAATCAATGCCCATGATGTTGGGCGTATAAATCTAAATGACATCGTTTTTGAGGTTGTTTGTTAGCTAATATTCCCCAGATTTGGTCTTTCATGGCCTTGGGTGGATAACAATCAATCAATCCCATTTTTATTTAAATATGTTATTATATTTGTCTTTGTCCAACTTTTTGGAGGAATTTCTTCCTATAAATAAAATAATCTGTTACTGTTTTTCTTAAATTTTAAACCAATTTTCCTTATCCGATCTAGGACCAACGTTAAAATCAAGAATCTCTTCCATTACTCGATCGTGCAGCAACTTAATAGTAATGTATTCTTTAGAAAGAACCATTTTATAGATAATCTCCCGGGTTGACATTAAATCTACAGGATTCAGTTTTGTCTGTGTATGACTAATTCTAGAAGACCTGGACTTTTTTGTAGCCTGTAGACAGATCTTTCCGAAATTTTCAACATTTTTGCGACCAGTTCTGTCTTCCTTTTTTTCTTAAATTCCAAAACATCTTGGTTTATATTAAGAAAGTCTAACACATTTAAACTTATTTGTTTTGATTGGTCATTAAATCGCTTCATTTTTGACATAAGACTCTACGACCTACTCAAACTTTGATGATTTTCTCACACAAGGTGTATAAGATAGAAAGAGAAAAAGTTTGACTTGAGGTAATTCCACGACTCTAGATGTGCGTCGTATTTATCGTGACTCCTTGGGCATTTAGTAAAATCCAAAACTGAGAGGCGGTTCGTTTCTACGACCTACTTCTAGAATAATTTATAGAAACGCTGTATTGTATACCAAAAACTACAATGCAATTATGAATTTTGTTAATGAGGTGCCGGATGATGCTATACCTCTATTAAACAATCTAAAATAATTTTTGCTAAAACAGAACTGCCACCTCAATTGGAATTTATTTCAACTAATTTTTCCATAGTTGCTGTGATACAATTTTAAAACTTGAATGCAACAATTTAGCACTGGTAGATTCTATTCAGCTAGTAAGAAATTGGTTTCAAAAACCATCCAATGTTCAAGGTAAAAAAGTTTTTCTAAAATTTAAGTCTGTTTTAGAAAAAATTAAGTTTTATTACCTTGTCGTTTGTGAGTAAAATTTACAAGAATTACTGAAGTTTTAATAATATAAAATCTTTAACGCCTTATATATTTTTTGAATATTCGAGGTCGTCTGGAATGCGGTCTTCCAATTTGGTATCCGATATATCTACATTAATCAACTTAAGTTTATACAAAAACTGTTTTTTGAAACTTCTGTCTTACCTTCTACACAGTAGTTATTTAGTACGAAGATATGAGAACAGTTTACTGGTGAATTGATTTTCGTTTTATTCGCTCAAAGCACTAGTCCTACTGATAGTGCAATTTCTCTTTAATTTACTTCCTAATTGCATGGAGTGCATTTGGCTTCTTCCTAAAATTGCTTTTAGTATACCGAGATTAAATTCTAGATTTGTTGTCACTTTATATAAATCAACTCCTAGAATTAACCTTATCAAATGTCACATATTACAGCTTTGTGTAATAATTATAATATTATTTCTAAATATTTAAACATTAATGCCGACTCACAAAATTTTTTACTTATTTATTTTTTTTATTATTAAACAAGACATCTTGAGAGACATTTTTTAAAAAAATATAGAGTGGGAAGATAAAAATATCTTACCTACCTATTAAAAGAACATTGTTTGCGCGCTACTGCAACTTCGAAATCTACAATACATCAGCTTAAAACTTGTCTTTTAGTAAACAGATACGAAATTTCATTTTCTCTGTCAACAAAACTATTAGATTTAACTGTAAATGTAAATATTCGTTGGCGGGAACATAACATGTTTGTAATAAGTTCCAAGACTTGTTATTTGCCAACCATGAGCTCTAAACGTTGCAGTAAAATATGGCATCAGAAAAGGGTAATAAGATTTTGCGATCTTACTAAAGACAAAAATAATTATCCATCAGGAAATGAAAGGAGTTATTCTTTAGTTATGTGCAATAAATAAATAAACTTAAGACTGTATTTAAATTTCAACGTAAAATATGAACTTCAAACTAGATCCTGGCTGCATGGAAAACATTCTACACTGTATAATTACTTATTTTTAAGCCAATAATTCTGATCAGCCGAAATATTTGAAGATCTTATATTCGCGTAATAACTTGTAATTTATTGTCGATGTAGATTTTTTAAAGACAGCTTTTGTTGCGTAACTAAGTATGCTTATCAGCTTTATTTTTATTAACTATTACATTAACTTATCAGAAGCTTAACTAGTGGCCGACAGTGGCCCATTCCGCAAATTTTCAATTACCATCAATGCAATCCTCTAGTGCTTTTAAACGCCCGAAGATAAATTTGCGAAACGCTGGTTGGTGGCTAATGCTAGCCGTTTAAGGGATTATAGCAATTCCCTTTGGCCGTAGGCGAGTAACTGAAATACCTGACACGTCCTGAACATGTCGCGCTATCTTGTTAGGGTGAGCCAGGAGTGTGGTACCTAAGCAATTATTGCCACCATATCCAGACAATGGAGTCCACATTGACCACTTCGATCGAACCCTTTTGCACAGATGGTGTTGTGACACTTCAAATAATAACGTTTAACCACGTTATCTTCTAATGGTAAATTAGATTAGGGTGTGACGTCCTGTTTAGCATGTGCTAATAGACCCTTTACGTCCATACGTTCGTTTCAGGATAATTCTAAGTGTTATTGTTTCTTTCGCAGGATCGGCGTGGGGAGGGCCCACTTCGAAAAACAACCTCCGAGCAACTTGCGAAAGTCCAATTTCTTCCATTTCGTCATCGCTTTGTATGACCGAGCAGGACAACCCGTGGAAATCGAAAGGACGGCTTTCATCGGATTTATCGAAAAGGATCAGGTCAGTCTAATGGCGACCTTTTAACAATATGATATTACTGCGATCAATATCCTCGAGAAAATTGGGTCTCATGACATTATTTAGGTGTTTTTAATCAAGGGCAAGAACGCCGCACGCCCGCCCAGAACATTTTATTTTATTGATGTACAAGACGAAAATTAATTTTTTAACAAAGAATTCACTTTTATTGTATGCAGTAAAAAATTGCAAAATACACGATAGTAATTTAATAAAAATGTATTTGTCTTATCTAGAGAGAGAGAGAGAGAGGGAGAGAAATATCTTGTAAAAACCATGAAAAGCGTCAAAATCTGTTAAAATCTCCACATCGAAACTAGGCACTCGTTCTCCAGGAAAATAGTTAAAACTACACATTTTGTCCAAATATCTGTCAAATTCGACGAGGAATGCGAACGTGGTTCCTTGAATAAAAAATGCCACAGAGTTATTGCAAGTTAAAGCACTTGGCTAAAATAAATTGTAATCGCCATAAAAGGACTTTCGGGACGTTTTACGTGTAGTACACGTAGCTCGTCGACTATTATTTAAAGATAATAGTATGTAAAACAATTAAAACAAATGTCGCCGTCATTGTTTGCTCAGTAAACGAATCTTGTGTCGGCCTCCGGTCTGCCGTTAATGAATTACCTAGAGTACAAGCAAAATAATTACAAGTCAGGGTTTGTAATGAAACATTTCATGCTAATCACGCAAATTACTTTTGCAGTGTAATGCAAACATGCACGACCAATGTACATCCTGATTAAAAAGATGGTGGCTGACAGGTCGTTCATTCTGGGAAGATGTTACCTGAAACTACGTACCTACATTGTTCAGTTTCTCGAAAACATAAATAAAAACATGCTACATGGTGAAACATAGGTTGACAATCATTGAGAAAAAAATTTTACGATACTGACCTGGAATTTATAATGGTTAGAGTCGGTTGACGTGATTGAATGAACATAATCAAGAAATGTTTTGGAACGGAATTGGATATAAAATGGTTAGTTACTGATGTATAGATTGTTTAAAGAGGCAATATCGAGGCGCGTTTAGTGTACAAAGCTTGACTAAAGCTAAAATTTTTGAAAACAGTTGGAAAGAGCCGCTATACGACAAGAACAAAAATTGTTAATTTGAATGTCAATTTTTAAAAGTCTCATTAGACTTGTGAAATGTAAGTGAACACTAAATCTTAATCGCTCGTTCAAGGTAAATATAAGAAAAAGTGATAACATAGTTTTACTGAATTATAGTTATTTCTATATGGGCTGGCTTAATGGGTTTTAAAAATTTTACAAGCGACTGCTGTACAAGTACTTTTAAGAAACTGGTTAAGATAAATACTGTACTTGTAGGTGCCAATTTTTTTCCGTCTTGAATATGCGAACCTCCTACGATAAACGGTTCTTAGTTCCCTTTTTTCCAGTCACGTCGTTCGACCACTTTTACAAAGTCATTTCTCGTTACACTGGTACCTGGAGTGCCTTAATCCCTCGCACTAACTCCGGTCCAAACTGATAACAGCACTTGTAAACTTTGCATAGCTGCTTTTTAAATTCCAATTTTAAAATCAATGCAAACAGTAACAAACGTGAAACTAAATAAGTCAGAAAGTGGACGTGTAATAAATAGAAAAATTAGACAACGGCAGAATTTTATATGATAAAAAATTTTGCAATATTATACAATTATTAAAATATTTTTAACATACTTTGCTTCTTAATCCAAAATGAATTGCATCTGTTCTCACACTAAATAAGCGTACTAGAGAGCCAGATACTTGCTGGACCGGAACTAAGGTGTTGAATTAGTGAACGCCCGACCTGGACCGGAGTTGAGGTTCTCCGCGTGCATCAACATCAAACGTGACTTATCAATTTTCAGAAATTTTTTCGTTAATCTAAGAAAAGTTCAAAATTGTAATTGTCATAAACAGGCAAAAATCTACCAGAAAATGTACAAAGAAATTAAACATGTAATTGGTGTGGTGTATTACATTCAGGAGTCCAAAGTCTGACTGCATTTTTATAATGGAAGTTCATTTGACCAGAGATATACGTAACTATAGTGGTGAAAATACCCCAAGTAAAACTTTTTCTCATTCTATCTTATGCACTTTGTGTGAGACAAAAAATTACCAAATTTTGAATACGTTGTAGAAATTTTATGTCAAATTTTGAAATTTATCATCAAAATTATTTGTCAAACAGAATCTTTGGTTTATTTAACGTTTTACTACTCTACTTAATTCTAAAAACTATAGCGATTTGGTGATCAAACAAAACAAGTTATACTAAATGTGTTGGATTATCTAGAAAGAAACCATGATGTGCAATTTAAGAAAAGACGAAAACTGGCGGCCGAAATGTTAAAAATTTCTGAAAAATCTCTTTATAATTTACAAAAAGATACAGTTCAAGTGATATGGAGTACAAAGAGAATATCTATGGATATTTCCATGCCTTGCAATGGTTTCTAAATACTTAAACCATTGAACGCTTAAGACGTGGTCTAATTAAAAGAATTATTTTTCCAAAAAGTAGCTTCGTGTTTTAAGAACCTCATAAATTCTGTGGTCGCATTTATTGTGTAGATTTCCCAACCTAAAAAACGTTATTTTCTGTGCTGAATTCAGCCACTTAAAGATAGTAAAGTAAAACGGCAGTAACATTCAGCATTCCTTGAAACGTTGCCATTATCTGATTTCACGCTTATTGAAACAGATTTCTCGGACGCTCTGCTTCAGAAAACTCGCAAGTTGAAATGTCTTCATAACGCCAATCACTTAACGAATTCATGAATATGCGTGGACTTAACGTGCATGTTGACCGTCTCTCCCTCTCCAGAAACAACCCGGCAAATGCATAGAGGAATTATACGAAAATGGTGTGCGAATAATTGGTTTAGGTGTGTTAATTCTGGCGCAACACGAGCGCTTGTCGACGTTTTGTCGGGCCGTCAAAATGGACCCAAGAAGCATTTTGCCGATTCTGCGTTGCCATGGCAGCCGTTTAGTAAAGTGTACAACGGAGGGAAAGTGAGATGAATAAATACAGCGTGTTTTGGCTGGGTAGGAAGTTGTAGACGGGCGGCAAGGGGCGGGGGTGTAATTGTGTTCGTGGCGATGCAGAAGATTAGGGCGCGAGTCGGGCAGAACATTTATCATGAAACCCAAACCAGAGCTGAGCGCCGGTCACAACAGAAACCATTATCGCAACGCGCCGGCAACGGCTTCCGAACTCCAATTCTCCACTCTAGATTTATTAAGATATATATAAACGATCGACTAAATTGCTAATATACCTCTTTGTTCCAGGAGGCCGACGGCCAGAAAACGAACAATGGAATACAGTACAGGCTGCAGTTGCTCTATGCCAACGGTAAGTCACTTGCTGTTCACATAGAACGTGTTCTGTTTGAAGGAAGCGCACAGAGAACGGGCTATTACATATTACCGAGTAATGAAGGATATTGTTCCCGCAGACCAAAACGTAGAACTAGAATCATTTGTTCTTTCGCAAAAGTATGTCTCTGAAAATGAATAGTAACTAAATTCTACAAATCTACACACTGCTAGCACTTTCTAGTCTAGATAGTCATTCTTACTGATTCTTAAATCCAGAGAGGGCTCACAAAATATTCAGTTCTCATCCCACTAGTCATTTCAACGCAGTAACGAAATATTTTTTGAGATATACATAATTATCTTTGCAACAGTTTACAATGAATATTAAAAAAGTATACTATAAAAATTAAATTAATCGAAATCACTATTTGCAGGATCAAAATCGTCTTCAAAGATGTCGTTAAGCTCATCATCATTGACATTAATAATAAATTCCCTTAAATTAATTACTGACTTTTTATTTGAATCAGATTTACCTCTTACGCATATTCTTAACCTAATCATACTATGTGAGTTAGTTTTGAAACAGAATTTATTTAGCTTTAACAATATTTTCTATGAACAACATACTAGTTTAGCAACGTGATCTTCCCTATCTCCATTTTTAGCAGAAATTTTCATGAACAATATTGAAGCAAAAATCCTTTCAAATCCTCAATTTACAGAGAAAATTAAATTCTGGACACGCTATGTAGATGACATCTTATCCCTCTTTCAAGGTTCTCTTGACTATGTTAACTCTTTTTTAAATTTTATCAATTCTTTCTATCCTTAAATAAAATTCACCCACAAAATCGAAAAAAATAATTCATTCCACTTTTAGACTTACGCGTTACCATTTTCCACCACTACTGGGACCATCACACCTTGGTCTTTTTTTCACCTTTCATTCCATAAATTCACAGCATTTAATTCCTTGTTCTTTAGATTATTTCACATTCCCCCAAGTCATGAAACCTTTGATAGAGAACAAATTATTATCAATAATAAATTTCTATTACACCTAGATAGGAAAATCCTATGTATCAACATAAACTCTTCCATAAATTTATAAAAATTTCCAATCACAGACTATACCCTGCTTTGCCCTCTACCTCTTTCTTTGGTTTTTCTTCTCTATCCATTTTCAAAATTTTCAAAAAACTAGATCATAACATTTGTAAGTAACAAAGACCCTACCAATTAAAATGTGATGCTTGCACGTATATCACTCAATATTCAAATACTGATATAACTAACACAAATTCTTTTTTCTCTTTTTGTGCTTCATACATGCTTTTTCTTTTTCTAAAGACATTTTTATTTTTAAACTGGTTAAAATTGTATAATTCAAACACAAAATTTTCCACAGTGAGCTGTTGTAATTATTTATAACTGGAATGGTTCCATACAATAAGATTTACATTGAGTTGGCGTTGCATTTATCGTCACCTACATCATCTCCTACACCTCGTTTAAATAAAAATTTTCATTTAATGATCTCGAATAATAACAATACGAAATCAATGGCTCGTAGCTGTGTAGCTGGAAATGATACTTTGTTGGCAACATCAGTGTAAAAAAAAAATAAATAGTTTGTCAATCTCTGGATGATTTTCTTATTTCCATAGAAAATTTATGTCTTTTTTCAGTCACACAAATATTTATTTTTTAGTAGACTTAGTTTTCAATTCCCAATTTATTTTATTATTTATTAATATTTATTTCTTATTTTTTCCACATTTGAACCGAAAATAAATCGCTTTTGACTTTGCATCCAAAATTTTGATTCTTAAAAAGAGTAGTTGTTTCCCGTCTTTCCATACCAGCGCTGTATGTTCGATAGTTTTGTTCATACTTTTTCTCTGTTCCTCAGTTTCAATTACAATGGAGTGTATTTTTTATTTTTAAACAGGATAAACACTTGACACCTGCTGATACCGGCCTTACAATTTCAATTTAACTTTTATCTGATTCATTGATTGTTTGTGCTTCAGAGAAAGCCAATTTAACAGATAAAGGTTGTTGTTCTTATACGACAAGCGTGCTATTAACAAGGATCAGAAGCACAAAATTGTAGATAGTAACTGATTTCTGATAATTTTGATTTCTCTAAACTAGGCTGCCGAATCAGCGCATGTCATAATTTTTATTAATTTTTATTATTTGATTTTTGGTCATTTTGAACCACCACCATGAATTTCCAAAAACCCTCAGTACTATTGGAAATTAAGTCAAAAACTGTAAAATGGCAAAATAAAAAAAATGCTCATCTTGAAAAAAAAGTGTAAAAAAAATTGTAACTAAATTCCATGTAAGTGATACTTCTGATATTGCTGTAATTACAAAATTTTCAAATTATTTAAAAATGAAGCTGAAAGTATATTGGTTTAATATTAATGAATTCAGCATACGCTGAATTTCAATATCTTATTTATCAGCTTAACTCAGAAACATTAGAAATCCCTTTTTTACTATGAACACGAAATGATGATTGAATTGAATTTAACCCAGACCGTGGGGGACTAACAATATTATAATGCTAAATAGCGTTCTAATGTAAAGATTTACTATAAAAAATGTGTCAAAAATACTGAGAATCTTAAACTCACTTTAGCATGAAATGCCTCACAATCTCATTTCATATTTATTTCAACTTTGTTGGTGGCGAATGAAGCTTTTAATGTGTTTTATTTCTTAAGATTTAAGAAAATCTCTCCACAAGGAAGACATTTGAGAATTCATCTACTCTAAAATATTGAAACCGGTGTTTTTAGATCATTTCAAGCCATCCGGAATATTAGTCTATAATCCATTGAATTATAGACTATACCTGAAATCTGAAATCTGTATGTTTGCTGCCTTAATCATTGGATAATTGGGTCACATTTCAATAAAAGTGTCTGATGTACTAAATTTTGGATTATGTAGTATCAGTTACAGGCGTGTTAATCTCCAACTCTTGTTTTTATTTAAACAAAACTACGAGACTGCAGTTATCACTAAGTGATATCTTAAAATGTAACAGTTCTACCACACCAGTAACTATCCATTTTACATCAATTAATATGTTTTTGTGGGTGCTGTGAATGTGCTTCTGAATAAAATGTAACAATTACAAATATGTTTATGTGGGTGCTAGTCATTTCTCGCATCAGTTCAACATGTCTTGGCGTTGTATAGTAACAAATGGTTTATCAATCCTACGTTGCAACGTGTAGATCATAGTGGTTCAGTGGGTGATCTTCCTTTAGTAATTTACACTACTACATTCATATTTTTTACACGTTTCATGACCCCAAGAGTACGAAAAAAGGGATCTCCCGTTTCCGTCTCTCTGTTTGTCTGTATCTCTGTCTGTCTGGTGTCTGTATCCATTTTTACTAAACACGTAATGTCCGAAACTACTAGACCGATTACTCCTGTACTTGTTCTGTACGGATCCGTCTTCAGATTTTCTCCAGAGCATCCAAATTGTACCGCAATAGAATCTTTTGTATTTTATGTCTACTGTTATTATCTATTTTTTTTATTGATCAAATTTTAAGAACGGGACACTCAGTATTTTATTATTAGTATTACACAGCATGTCGCAATTGACAGACGTGTCTTTGCTGAAATTGATCGAAACATTCTCAAATGGGAAAACTCACAACACAGGCATAAGGCCCAATTGTGTATCAAATATGTTAAAATTTGAAGATTGTTAAAAATAAACAGCCAATCAGATTCACGAATTTAACTTATTACTATGGAAATTTGTAATTTAACACCCCTTTAAATTTAACAACTGTTAATTAGTTTCCTGTCATGGTTACTCCAGACGAAATATAAACAAGTGTGCTTTTGTAACATAATGCGCTCGAAAGTGAAGTGGCAGGGTATGGGTAATTTAAATATAATACATTAATGAATTCAGGAAAGCAAGTTCTAAAAAATCTTAGAATGTCAGTCGTATTATCTATTACATTTGTTTTAATCTAGAGATTATAATAAATAAACAATTTTTTTTTATTTTTCAAAGTAACTGGATTTGTTGGGCTGTACTTCAGGGGCGAGGGAAGTCCTGTCGAAAAAACCTTCGACCAATTTTTACAGTTCGTTTTAAAAACTATGAACCCAAATTTTTTAAAAATATGACAAAATACTAACATTTATGTAACAATTACAAGGCAAAGATTATTCTTTTTTATTCGTCCCCTCCTAAAAGTTAATGACGTCATCGTAAAAATGTATTAAATGGCATTGGTATCCCATAAAAAAAATGGCATGTTTCTTAAAAGAAACTTCCACGTGTAAAATAAATCACTGGCAAAAATTTTAATGACAGTTGACTTTGTTTTTTACTCAATGTTGTGTGTTATGCATGAAAAACACTATCAAAGATCGCCATGAATTATCAAAGCCAAATCTTCAAAAATCCATGGCTGCTTTTGCTCGTATTTTTTATTGTTCTCTTGGTAGTTTCTCCCACTCATTTGATCTGAATGTAGGTAGATATGTGTAATAACTAATAAAACCTGCTCAGAAATATTTTCTCGGTATTTATATTATTCCGGAATCAATGCAATGACGAATGGTTTAGCAAATTCCCATAAATATAAAAATGTTTGACAAGAGTTGAAAGCACACTGGTCAAGTGAATTCGTAACGAGGCATAGAATTGAATGATTTTGCAATTTTGCAAGAACGGGCAGTAAAGCCACGTTATGGGAAGGATAATGGCGTCCTGGAACATTTCTATTAGCAAGTTTGGTCTTTGGCATTACGTGGTTACGACTTAGCGACGTTATTATTGCCGACATTCGCACCGTCTTGCCAAACCGCTCGGTCCATCTCGTGAATCATTAAAATGATAATGCCAAAGTTTACGGCACGTCAAACTATTTCGATACTGTTGCGAGTCGGTTAGAGCAGTCCGTGATAAGAAGAAGTCCTATCCGGCGATAGCGCGCCTGAACAAAGACCAGGGAGGCGGTAAAGCCTCGGGGTTCG